GTTCTTTTTGGGTCTAGTGGGCGGAGACAGTTTGTCAGACGACCCCCAAACACTGAATTCAAGCCACAGTACACTGTGAAGACAGTGAAGCATGGTGGTGCAAGCATCATGATATGGGGATGTTTCTCATACTACGGTGTTGGGCCTATTTATCGCATACCAGGGATCATGGATCAGATTGAAGACATCAGAATACTTGAAGAGGTCATGCTGCCTTATGCTGAAGAGGAAATGCCCTTGAAATGGGTGTTCCAACAAGACAACGACCCCAAACACACCAGTAAACGTGCAACATCTTGGTTCCAGACCAACAAGATGGATGTTATGGAGTGGCCAGCCCAATCCCCGAATCTTCATCCTATAGAAAACTTGTGGGGTGACATAAAAAATGACGTTTCTGAGGCCAAACCAAGAAATAGAGAAGAACTGTGGAATGTGGTCCAATCATCCTGGGCTGGAATACCTGATCACAGGGGCCAGAAGTTGGGTGACTCCATGCAACACAGATGTACAGCAGTTCTCAGAAACAGTGCGACTACAACCAAATATTCATGAAGTCATTCAAAGGAAAGCAAAATCTTCAAACATTTCTCAGTTTATATAGTGAATGTTTGAGTTTGTAAAGAATACAAACACTGCGATTTTTTTGAACCGTCTAATATTCACTTTTCTTCCATTTTTTTAGAGGAACAACACAAATTTGATGTATTTTTCTTCATGTTGTGATTTGGAATAGAATGTGTCGTGTTCCCAATGCATTTGTGTGGATGGAAATAAAAGCTATTAGAAGGATTTTCAGCTTTATTCACTTTTTTCAACACACTGCTATTATTTTGAACACAACTGTATATCTGGAGGGAGCTGGGCTAAAGGATGTCTGTCTGGAACAAGATTCTGTAAAACAAGGATCTCCAAACCTTTTAAACAAGGGGCTAGTTTACTGTCTCTCAGAAATGGGGGGGGGGGGGGGGGGGCAAACTGTGGCCCGTGGGAGTAGAAAATCCCTCAGGCTTGGTGGCCAGTTGGAGAAATAAATTACATAATAGGAGATTTACTAAAACAGGTACACTCAGAATCTGGTGCATTTGTGCATAGTAGTCAATTAGCTTCTAATTTCAGCTTGTTCAATTAAACGTTGACAGAAAAAATGGAAGCTGATTGGTTACTAGGCAGAGCTGCACCAGATTTTGCACTCTCCAGTTTTAGTAAATAATCCCCATAGTGCAGCACAGTGGCTAAATGGTTAGCACTTCTGCCTGGTAGTACTAGGGTTGTTGGTTCGAATCCCAACCACGGCACCACCTGCCTGGAGTTTGCATGTTCTCCCTATCCCTGTGTGGGTTTCCTCCAGGTACTCCGTTTTCCTCCCACACTTCAAAGACATGCTGGTAGGTTAATTGGCCCCTGTCTAAATTGTCCCTAGTATGTGTATGTATGAATGTGAGTTAGGGACCTTAGATTGTACGCCCCTTGAGGGTTAGGGACTGATGTGAATGTACAATATATATTAAAGCGCTGTGTAAATTGACAGCACTATATAAGTACCTGAAATAAATAATAGTGCTGAGGTCAGAAGAAAGAACAGTGCCCCATGACTGGTATTGGTGGATGCTGCATCCTTGGTGTCAGTGGAAGGTCTAATATCCTATTATTGGTGTCAGTGGGAGGACTAGTACACCATCATTGGTATTAGTGGGATGAATAGCATCCCCTCATCAGTGTCAGTGGGAGGAATAATGCGCCACCATTGGGGTAAGTGGGAGGCATAGTGATCCATTGTTGGTGTCAGTGGGAGAACTAGTGCCCCATTGTTGGTGTCAGTGGAAGGGATAGTGCCCCATCATTCATGTCAGTGGAAGTGATAGTGCCCCATCATTCATGTCAGTGGAAGTGATAGTGCCCCATCATTGGTGTCAGTGGGAGAACTAGTACCCCATTGTTGGTGTCAATGGAAGGGAAAATGCCCCATTATTGGTGTCAGTGGGAGAACTAGTACCCTATCGTTGGTGTCACTGGAAGGCACAATGCCCCACTAATTGTGTCAGTGGGAGGAATAGTGCCCCATTATTGGTATCAGTGGAAGGAACAGTTCCCCATCATTCATATCAGTGGAAGGAATAGTGCCCCATTGATGGTGTCAGTGGGAGAAATAGTACCTCATTATTGGTATTGGTGGGAGGAATAGTGCCCCATCGATGGTGTCAGTGGAATAGGGCCCCATTATTGGTATTGGTGGGAGGAATAGTGCCCCATCGATGGTGTCAGTGGGAGGAATACGGCCCCATTATTGGTATTGGTGTGAGAAACAGTGCCCCATTGTTGGCATCAGTAGAAGGAATAGTGCCCCATCATTGGTGTAGGTTGAAGGAAAAGTGCTCCACTGATGTGTCATTGGAAGGATTAGTGCCTATCGTTGGTGTCAGTAGAAGGTATTGTGCTCTTCTGGTGTCAGCAGAAGGAATGATGCCTTGTTGTTGGTTTCAATGGGATGAATAGGGCCTTGTTACAGTGGGAGGATCAGTGCCCCAAAGGTCGGATAAAGGCAAGCAAAGGGCTGCATCTAGCTGCAGTTTGGAGACCCACTGCTGTAAAGGATCTCCTTGCCAAATGGTGTAGCAGAAGAACTGGGTAGAAGTCCTGCAGGACATTGTAAAAATGATTCAACACTCATCAATAAAGATCTCTTTGACTGCTATAAGAAGGTCAAGGGACAAATTAATTCAGAGAGAACTTAAGAAAAACGGTGTCTACTCTTGGGTCATAGATCTGTCTGGCTGCTCTCCTAAGGTCATCAATCACCAGCATTGTTCTCTTAAAGGGTTTCCTACTTCCAGAACACCTGTCCGATCTTTGGCCTCATTTGGATATCTTGCACCCCTAAAGCCTCTCTCTTGGAACTGAATCCAGCAATAAACAGTAAAAAGTCTCACCATACACCAAGAACCAGAGCCTGAGATGGAAATGTTAGCCTGCCACACTACATGGGGGTCATTCCAAGCCACTCTAAGAGGAAAGGTGCAACATTTGTCTGTATCGCTCGATCTCCTGAAAGGCTTTCTGTAAAAACTGAAAATAAAAAAAGTATCACCCACAGAACTCATGTGGCCGCAACGCCGAAAGCACAGATGGTGAGGCAGAAGGATGCATCCTCGCCAAGGTATGGATAGATTAGCATAGTTCCATTGGTCCATCTTGGGTCAATGTACTGCAACTATGTATATAGCATACCTGTGGGATCCCTCTAGAACATCCTTTGTCCACGTTTGGTGGCAATGTCTGATAGTTCCTAGATTTTGGATCCACATGTTTAACCTTATCTACACGGTGACGGGGGTTAATGTTCGTAGGGCCCCAGAGATGGCCCTCTTCCATAAATTTCCACTTACAGTACCAAAAAAAATCCCTTAACCCCCCTGGAGGTATTCCCGAGTGTAGCTCGGGGTAAAGTTTCAGCACCACAAGCGGTAACCCCGAGCTACACTCGGGAATACATTGCAGCGTTGCTCCAGGATCTCTTCTGCACTTATCTTGTCCTGCGCTCCCGCGATGTCCCCCCTGCAGTGTCCCCGGCAATGTCCTCCGGGCGATGTCAGCATCTGTCTCTTGGGTTCCATCCCCTGTGACGTCGGGATGTACGGGGGACGGAACGGCGGGAAATTCAAAAATGTCAAAAAGTGATATTCACTAAATCCACTAAAATCACATAGTATAACATTCCTGTATCAAACCATTTCACATACATTTTGTCCCGAGTGCTTTGTCCGGCGCCCTGCCTGCATTTTTACTGTTCTTTCTGCCTGGAAACTGAGAAACGTCCATGGCGTCCAAAAAGCGTCCCTTTAGGTCAAAAGCGGTTTTAGACCGGCTAGAGAACAGCGATAGTAAATCAGAACCACTTGCAGAATTGAGTGATAATGATTCGTGGGGGAAATTCCTCATCAGACACTGAAAACGATTCTGCGACTTTGCTCAGCGATGTGTGAACTTGGGGCTCTATTTCACATTTCAGGGTTTTTGGTTTGATTATATTATTGAATTACATTTTATTATATTATTTTTTATGATTATTTTATTATAATTTATGATTTTGTGTTTAAAATTTTATCCTACCCGGGATGTTTACTAGACTCTTGTTCGGACAGATTTCAGTGAGTTATTCCTAAGAATTACAGCCTACAATAAAAAAACAACATATTTCCATGCAAAAAAATGTACCGCTTTGAGCACAGAAATACTGACATAATCAGACTGTTAAGGAGGTTAAATTGCTTATATGCTGTTAGCAGCGAGGATCACTATTGCTAAATATTGGAAGAGATCAATTATTCCGCTTGAAGATGTTAAGAACAAATTAAATTGGATCGAGATTAAGGACAGACTCACCTGTGTCCTACACAATACGGCTAACACATTGGATAAAACGTGGGACCCGTGGATTCCATACATCTCCGTGTCTTAGTACTTCCCGATTTGGCCCTCTTCTCCTCTCGTTTCTGTTGCTCTCTTTTTCTCACTTTCTGCTGTCTCTTTTATCTTTTCGTTTTCTGGTGCTAGTTGAGTTCATTTTTTATTTCTTCTACATTATTTGTTGTGTTTTCTGTGATGCTTGTTCCTTGCTCTCCATGTGTTTCCTATCACTGCTTCCCCTGTACGTGGCGGACCTAATGCTGGGAATTTTATATTCCAGCTATCCAAATATTGTTGCACAAATTTTCTTTTTCCCTAAGGTATGTCTGTTGTTTATTCAACCAGCTGTTTCTTGCTGCTGTTAGACACCTTCTTTTATAACACGACACTTGTCTATTGCATGATTTGTCATTTGAAAAATGTCAATAAAAATATTGGAAAATAAAATATCCATACCTGGAATTCTTCTCTAACTTACCAGAATCCATCAAACACTGGAAGATCAACCCTGGGTGGTGGAAAAGAGAAAGGGAAGCTGGACAAATGCCTCAGTATTAGACATGTACACCTTCCCACTGATTACTCTCAGAGGGAAGATACGCCCGTTCCTAACCTCGGAAACCACTAAGCAGCTTATTTCCTCCCTGGTTATCTCTCACCTTGACTATTGTAACTCCCTCCTCATTGGCCAACCTTATCGCAGGCTATCCCCTCTTCAGTCTTTCATGAATGCTGCTGCCAGACTCATCCATCTTACTAACCGTTCTGTATCTGCCACCCCTCTCTGCCAATCCCTCCACTGGCCCCCACTCAGTGTCCTCCATCCCTCTCTGCCAATCCCTCCACTGACCTCCACTCAGTGTCCTCCATCCCTCTCTGCCAATCCCTCCACTGGCCTCCATTCAGTGTCCTCCATCCCTCTCTGCCAATCCCTCCACTGACCCCCACTCAGTGTCCTCCATCCCTCTCTGCCAATCCCTCCACTGACCTCACTCAGTGTCCTCCATCCCTCTCTGCCAATCCCTCCACTGACCTCCACTCAGTGTCCTCCATCCCTCTCTGCCAATCCCTCCACTGACCCCCACTCAGTGTCCTCCATCCCTCTCTGCCAATCCTTCCACTGGCCCCCACTCAGTGTCCTCCACCCCTCTCTGCCAATCCCTCCACTGGCTTCCATTCAGTGTCCTCCACCCCTCTCTGCCAATCCCTCCACTGGCCCCCACTCAGTGTCCTCCACCCCTCTCTGCCAATCCCTCCACTGGCTTCCATTCAGTGTCCTCCACCCCTCTCTGCCAATCCCTCCACTGGCTTCCATTCAGTGTCCTCCACCCCTCTCTGCCAATCCCTCCACTGGCCCCCACTCAGTGTCCTCCACCCCTCTCTGCCAATCCCTCCACTGGCTTCCATTCAGTGTCCTCCACACCCTTTCTGCCAATCCCTCCACTGACCCCCACTCAGTGTCCTCCACCGGCTTCCCAATGCCCAATGGATAACATTCAAAATATTAACAATCACATATAAAACCATTTATAACTCTGCCCCAAATTAAATCACCAATCTTGTCTCCAAATACCACCCAAACCGTCCTCTCCGCTCCTCGCACGACCTCCTGCTCCCTAGCTCTCTTGTCTCCTACTCCCATGCTCGTCTCCAGCACTTCTCCAGAGCTTCCCCCATCCTCTGGAATTCTCTACCCCAATTTATCAGACTATCGCCTACTCTGCTCACTTTTAGGCGATCTCTGAAAACCCATCTCTTCAGGGAAGCCTATCCTGCCCTCTACACACGCCCTCGGAATTCCCAGTCTTCACATAAATCTTCTTCTCCTAGCCAGAGTAGCTCTCAAGCCCTTCGATCTCTACAGGCCCAGCGTTTTCAGGAAGTCCCCGTGTCTTGATATTTAGTGGCCGGCGGTCAGTATACAGCTTTATCACATGTGGATCTTTGCCGCCACTTTCTGGTTTTGAACCTGGATTTGTCCCGTTACAACATCCGCAGGTCCAGGGGGCTCATAACCTTCACGTGATTTACCTCTTCCAAGCCAGAGTGGATCTCAGGCTCCCCCCCCCCCTTTTTTTTTTTTTTTCCTCTTTCATTCTCTGCTCTGATTGGTTGAGCTTTTTATTGTCTTGCAAGTTTTCTGTTAACCATTCACTCACAGGTGTATTAGCCTAAGTTGTTTGCAAAATAATTCTTTTTTTTTTTTTATTAATGTCGAGTTGTTCCGGTAGATTATCGTGTCCCCCTCTGAGCTGGCTAGCGGTCTGGTTATTTGCCCCGCCCTCTACCCAGCCTCTAGGTGGGTATTTTACCCACAGTTGATTAGTACGATGTTTGTATTAATCTTATTGTTTCGCAGATATATTGCTTGTATATCAGTTGTCTTCTTGTTTTCTTCTTACTTCTTCACCTCCTTTTCTTTGTCTTTTGTCATGTGTTTGCTCCCTCCCTTTCCCCCCCCCCCCCCTCCCTTCCCTGTTTTCTATTCCATGGCACTTGAATATTCAGTTTATACTTATGCTTCTACCAGTATATGTTCTGAAATATTTCTCAAATGTCTCATACTTGTTGGTCAATGTATATGTTTCTCGAATGCTTGTTTATCTCTGCTTGTTCTACAATAAAAAAATCCTTTGTAAAAGAAAAATCATTTGGAATTCGACCCATGTATGGCCTGCATTACTTTGTCTACGGATGACTCTTGGACTTGGGTGTGTGAGAGGTCACCTAGGGTCTGACAGGTGCTGCTCTGCCAACAGTCTGACTACATACTGAACTTCTTCCTCAAAGCACTGGAGTCCTTGGTTAGAATCCCAGCCAGGACAGTATCTGCATGGAGTTTGCAAGTTTTCCTTCTGCATGTGTGGGTTTCCTCTCACACTCCATGGACATGCTGGAAGGTTAATTGGTTTCTGTCAGTAAAGCACTTCGGTCTGTAAAGCACTTCTGGGGGTCTGGGGACAGCGGATATAGTGAATGCGGGGTCCGGGGAGACCAGATATAGTGAATGCAGGGTCCGGGGAGAGCGGATATAGTGAATGCAGGGTCCGGGGAGAGCGGATATAGTGAATGCAGGGTCCGGGGAGAGCGGATATAGTGAATGCAGGGTCCGGGGAGACCGGATATAGTGAATACAGGGTCCAGGGAGAGCGGATATAGTGAATGCAGGGTCTGGGGAGACCAGATATAGTGAATGCTGGGTCCGGGGAGACCGGATATAGTGAATGCAGGGTCCAGGGGGAGAGCAGATATAGTGAATGCAGGGTCCGGGAGAGCAGATATAATGAATGCAGGGTCCGGGGAGACCAGATATAGTGAATGCAGGGTCCAGGGAAAGCAGAGATAGTGAATGCAGGGTCCGGGGAGAGCGGATATAGTGAATGCGGGGTCCGGGGAGACCAGACATAGTGAATGCAGGGTCCGGGGAGACCGGATATAGTGAATGCAGGGTCCGGGGAGAGCAGATATAGTGAATGCAGGGTCCGGGGAGAGCAGATATAATGAATGCAGGGTCCGGGGAGACCAGATATAGTGAATGCAGGGTCCAGGGAAAGCAGAGATAGTGAATGCAGGGTCCGGGGAGAGCGGATATAGTGAATGCGGGGGTCCGGGGAGACCAGACATAGTGAATGCAGGGTCCGGGGAGAGCGGATATAGTGAATGCAGGGTCCGGGGAGACCAGATATAGTGAATGCAGGGTCCGGGGAGACCGGATATAGTGAATGCAGGGTCCGGGGAGAGCGGATATAGTGAATGCGGGGTCCCGGGGAGAGCGGATATAGTGAATGCAGGGTCCGGGGAGCCCAAATATAGTGAATGCAGGGTCCGGGGAGAGCGGATATAGTGAATGCAGGGTCCGGGGAATATAGTGAATGCAGGGTCTGGGGAGAGCGGATATAGTGAATGCAGGGTCCGGGGAGAGCGGATAAAGTGAATGCAGGGTCCGGGGAGACCAGACATAGTGAATGCAGGGTCCGGGGAGAGCGGATATAGCGAATGCAGGGTCCGGGGAGACCAGATATAGTTAATGCAGGGTTCGGGGAGACCAGACATAGTGAATGCAGGGTCCGGGGAGAGCGGATATAGTGAATGCAAGGTCCGGGGAGACCAGATATAGTGAATGCAGGGTCCAGGGAGACCAGACATAGTGAATGCAGGGTCCAGGGAGAGCGGATATAGTGAATGCAGGGTCCAGGGAGAGCAGAGATAGTGAATGCAGGGTCTGGGGAGAGCGAGCGGATATAGTGAATGCAGTGTCTGGGGGGAGAGCGGATATAGTGAATGCAGGGTCCGGGGAGAGCGGATATAGTGAATGCAGGGTCCGGGGAGACCGGATATAGTGAATGCAGGGTCCGGGGAGAGCAGATATAGTGAATGCAGGGTCCAGGAATATAGTGAATGCAGGGTCTGGAGAGAGCGGATATAGTGAATGCAGGGTCCAGGGAGACCAGATATAGTGAATGCAGGGTCCAGGGAGAGCGGATATAGGGAATGCAGGGTCCGGGGAGAGCGGATATAGTGAATGCAGGGTCCGGGGAGAGCGGATATAGGGAATGCAGGGTCCGGGGAGAGCGGAAATAGTGAATGCAGGGTCCGGGGAGAGCGGATATAGCGAATGCAGGGTCTGGGGAGACCGGATATAGTGAATGCAGGGTCCGGGGAGAGCGGATATAGCGAATGCAGGGTCCGGGGAGACCGGATATAGTGAATGCAGGGTCCGGGGAGAGCGGATATAGTGAATGCAGGGTCTGGGGAGACCAGATATAGTGAATGCAGGGTCCTGGAAGAGCGGATATAGTGAATGCAGGGTCCGGGGAGAGCAGATATAGTGAATGCAGGGTTCGGGGAGACCAGATATAGTGAATGCAGGGTCCGGGGAGAGCGGATATAGTGAATGCAGGGTCTGGGGAGACCAGATATAGTGAATGCAGGGTCCAGGGAGAGCGGATATAGTGAATGCAGGGTCTGGGGAGAGTGGATATTGTGAATGCAGGGTCCGGGGAGAGTGGATATTGTGAATGCAGGGTCCGGGGAGAGCGGATATAGTGAATGCAAGGTCCGGGGAGAGTGGATATAGTGAATGCAGGGTCCGGGGAGAGCGGATATAGCGAATGCAGGGTCTGGGGAGACCGGATATAGTGAATGCAGGGTCCGGGGAGACCAGATATAGGGAATGCAGGGTCCTGGGTTTAGGAACACTTTAAGGGCAGATTCATACAGGAGACTGTTTCTCTTTAACCAGTTCCCCGTCACTCTGTAGCAGAAGTACATTTCCTGGTAGGGAGCATGCGCTCCCTGCCCGTGCCACCATTGGCTGCTTCAGATGTCAATCACTGGTCACCGGCTGGAGATTTCCCACTGGCACCTGGCGATCATCAGGGAAAGCTGACAGGGGAGAGACCTGTGTGTAAAACAACACCGGTCTCTCTCCTGTCAGACATGCTGCTTTGTATCTCTCTGCACAGCATTTCTCAGTAGTAAAACACACACAGCACACAGTTAACCCTTTGATCGCCCAAAAATTAACCCCTTCCTGCCTAGTGCCATAAGTACAGTGTCAGTGCTTTTTATTAGCACTGATTACAGTATTAGTGTCACTGGGGACGTCAGTGGCTGTTAGTTCCCCTCCCAGTGTCAGAATGTCGCCGCCATTACTAGTATAAAAAAATAAAAATGAAAATTCCAATATATACACCGCCAATTGTAAACTATCTCGTAAACCAATTATTTACACATATTGGGATTTTTTTTTTTAGCAAAGACATGGAGCAGAATACATTTTGGCTTAGAATTTTTATGACAAAATGTGTTTTTTTTAATTTCTTTATTGGACATTTTTTACAGCAAAAAAGTCAAAAACATTTTTTTTTTCAAAATTGTCGGATTTTTTTTAGTTTATAGCGCAAAAAGTAAAAAACGCAGAGGCGATCAAATACCACTGAAGGAAAGCTCCATTTGTGGGGAAAAAAAGGACATAAATTTATGTACAGCGTTGCACGACCGCGCAATTGTCAGTTAAAGTAACGCAGCGCCGTATCACAAAAAATGGCCTGGTCGGGAAGGGGGGGGAGGGGGAATCCCTCTGGATGGTGAGGGGTTAAAGCACAGCAATATATTTTGTTGGCAGCACTAGGTCACATGGCACACACCTCTCCACTGGCAGTACAGCCGGAGGGTCATCACACTCATACGTCCCCCATATTGATTTATGAGGAAGAAATGATTCCTCTGTATAGTCTGTATCCAGGTTAAAGTCGATCTCCTAAAGCACAAAAAAAAAAAAAAACTAGCCATAATGGCCACAGCCCTGTTTTATTCTGTACTTGCTGGTACAAGGCAGAGACAACCATTTTCTGAGACTACAATTATTTTTGAAGTCTAATATTTGCATCTTTTCCATAGGCCCCCAATGCCTGAAATATGACAGTTTCATCAGCAGACTGTGCCACTGACTTCTGCCTCTCCTCTCCAGGGAAGTCACTCCCATATGTACATCAAGGTGTCTGACATTCACCTGGAGTTCCACTTTCCAATTCCGCCCCCTCAGATTAGCGCTCGCAGCTCATTGGTGAGGATGTACCGTTTGCCGTCCCAATGAAAATGGCTGGGGGTTCCAGAAGGAGACCCGCTGGGGAATTCAAAACAGGGGCTGAGCTCGAACGCCAGTGATGACTTTACAAGGCCCACCCCTCCGCTCTTCTCCGGCGCTGGGTGATAGACCCGCCCATTTTCTAGAAGCATCACAAGTCTCTCCGGCTCGAAGCGCACCACTAGCTGGTCCCCTCCCCCACAGTACGACAAATGCTGGAGCCCCGAGCGCTCATCCCGCAGGAGGTGGGTGAAGACGACGGGGCGGTCATCGCAGCGGATGTAGTTACATTCCCTGCCGCACGGCGAGATGTACGGGAACTCCTCCTCGTAGCGCCCGCTGGTGTTCCTCCGCACTTGTTTGAAGAAGAAAACCAGAAACTGCTTCTCTGAAATACAAAAGAATATGTCAGAGATATATACATGAATAATAGTGTACAACACTACGGTGTATGTCAGAGATATACAGTAGATCTTATATCACTAGAGGGGTCACCAGCAGGAAGAAGGAGGTCCTGATTCCTCTATATAGATCTTTATATCACTAGAGGGGTCACCGCAGGAGGAAGGAGGTCCTGATTCCTCTATATATAGATCTTTATATCACTAGAGGGGTCACCAGCAGGAGGATGGAGGTCCTGATTCCTCTATATAGATCTTTATATATCACTAGAGGGGTCACCGGCAGGAGGAAGGAGGTGCTGATTCCTCTATATAGATCTTTATATCACTAGAGGGGTCACCGGCAGGAGGAAGGAGGTCCTGATTCCTCTATATAGATCTTTATATCACTAGAGCGGGGTCACCAGGAGGAAGGAGGTCCTGATTCCTCTATATAGATCTTTATATCACTAGAGGGGTCACCAGCAGGAGGAAGGAGGTCCTGATTCCTCTATATAGATCTTTATATCACTAGAGGGGTCACCGGCAGGAGGAAGGAGGTCCTGATTCCTCTATATAGATCCTATCACTAGAGGGATCAAAGGCAGGAGGAAGGAGGTCCTGATTCCTCCATATAGATCTTTATATCACTAGAAGGGTCACCAGCAGGAGGAAGGAGGTCCTGATTCCTCCTATATAGATCTTTATATCACTAGAGGGGTCACCAGCAGGAGGAAGGAGGTCCTGATTCCTCTATATAGATCCTATCACTAGAGGGATCAAAGGCAGGAGGAAGGAGGTCCTGATTCCTCCATATAGATCTTTATATCACTAGAGGGGTCACCGGTAGGAGGAAGGAGGTCCTGATTCCTCTATATAGATCTTTATATCACTAGAAGGGTCACCAGCAGGAGGAAGGAGGTCCTGATTCCTCTATATAGATCTTTATATCACTAGAGGGGTCACCGGCAGGAGGAAGGAGGTCCGGATTCCTCTGTATAGATCTTTATATCACTAGAGGGGTCACCGGCAGGAGGAAGGAGGTCCTGATTCCTCTGTATAGATCTTTATATCACTAGAGGGGTCACCGGCAGGAGGATGGAGGTCCTGATTCCTCTGTATAGATCTTTATATCACTAGAGGGGTCACCGGCAGGAGGAAGGAGGTCCTGATTCCTCTATATAGATCTTTATATCACTAGAGGGGTCACCAGCAGGAGGAAGGAGGTCCTGATTCCTCTATATAGATCTTTATATCACTAGAGGGGTCACCAGCAGGAGAAGGAGGTCCTGATTCCTCTATATAGATCTTTATATCACTAGAGCAGGGGTGGGCAACTGTGGCCCTCCAGCTGTTGTAGAACTACAAGTCCCATGAGGCATTGCAAAACTGACAGTTACAAGCATGACAGCATGACTCCCAAAGGCAGAGGCATGATGGGACTTGTATTTCACCAACAGCTGGAGGGCCACAGTCGCCCACCTCTGCACTAGAGGGATCGCCAGAAGGAGGAAACATGTCCTGATTCCTCTGTATTGGTCTGTATATCACTAGAGGGGTCACCAGTGGGAGGAAGGAAGTCCTGATCAGGGGTGGACTGACAACTCATGGGGCCCCCGGGCAAAAGGGGATCATGGGGCCCCTGTGTCCTTGCCCAAACTCAAAAAAGCCTATGAAAAAGGTACCAGGGGCATCTCATGGGGCCCCCTACTGACCCTGGGCCCTCGGGCAATGCCCGAGTTTCAAATGGTCAGTCCGCCCCTGGTCCTGATTCCTCTATATTGATTTGTATATCACTAGAGGGGTCACCAGGGGGAGGAAGGAGGTCCTGATTCCTCTATATAGATCTTTTTGAGACCTCATTTAGAATACTGTGTCCAGTTCTGGAGACCTCACTTACAAAAAGACATTGATAAGCTAGAACGAGTCCAGAGAAGGGCAACAATTATGGTGAAAGGTCTGAGGGATTAAACACATCAGGAGAGACTTCAGAAGCTTAATATGCCCAGTCTGGACGAAAGAAGTGAAATTATGGACATGACTGAAACTTTTAAATCCATGAAGGGTGTGATTACGGTTCAGGAGGACTGTATGTTCAGTATGAAGCCAAGATGAAGAACACGAGGACCAGACCTCAGACTATCAGGAGGAAAGGTCTGTACTAACCTTAGAAAGTATTATTGTACAGAAAGGGTAGTTGACCCTTAGAACAGACTTCCAGCAGTGGTAGGGAGTCCGTCAACAGTAAGTGGTTTCAAACATGCTTGGAACCAACAGATCTATACTATAAAAAGCTAAGGAAAAAAAACTAAATAAATAAATAAATGGCAGGCTTAATGGACCACTTGGTCTTTTTTTTTGTACCATCACTTTTCTATGTTTCTATGTACAGTTGTGTTCAAAATAATAGCAGTCAGACATCACTAACCGGATCAATCACTGTTTTTGGTAGAAATTACATTTCTACATGGCAAATAATTTCCTAGCAGGTGTAGTAGAGTAATAGAAATCCAACAGACCCAACAGTCATGACATGCATGCTGCTGATTCTGTGTCATTGAATCACTCATTGAAAGGGGCGTGTTCAAAATAATAGCAGTGTGGAGTTCTATTAGTGAGGTCATTCATTCTTTGAAAAACAGGTGGCAATTATTGCCCTTATTTAAGGAAGGAAGGCAGCAAATGTTGTACATGCTGGTTACAGTGCATTTCTCTCTGAAATTCTGAGGAAAATGGGTCGTTCCAGACATTGTTGAGAAGAACAGCGTACCTTGATTAAAAAGTTGATTGGAGAGGGGAAAACATATAAAGAAGTGCAGAAAATGATCGGCTGCTCAGCTAAAATGATCACAAATGCTGTAAAATGGCAACCAAAACCTGAAAGACGTGGAAGAAAGCGAAAAACTACCATTGGAATGGATAGAAGAATAGCCAAAATGGCAAGGACTCAACCAACAATCAGC